AAGCTCCTGAATCAATGATCAAAGGTCTAGCAGTGTGAGATCCATTGTGAACAGAGTTTAAAGTATTAATACTAATGTTACCGGAGTTCGCATTAAGAGCCTTTATAAGGGCCTCAATGTCTGACTTGCGAATGAATGCATCATCAGAAGGTGGCTGGGACATAGCGCGAGAGGTGGAGCCACCAGTGTACTCATGAGCACTTGCTTCATGTGCTTTGGCCTGGTTGAACTTGGCTGGTTTGAGGTGTGGGTGGAGGATCCAGCAGTTGGTTTTGGAGTGTCCCAACTTCTTGCAATGCTCACACGCCACATGCTTGTCTCCTCCTCCCCTTGGTTTGAAATGAGCTTTATTAGCTGCTGCACTTTCCACCTTCTCAGCCTTGTTTGCCATAGACAACTCTTCTTTTCTCCCAAAGAGACCATCTGAGCCAATCTCCTTTTGAAGTTGTGCACACACATCATCATAGCTTTGGAGCTCCTTAGCTCTCAATATGTGTTTAACCACATCACTGAAATTTGAATTGAGTGTGAGAAGAAGACCAAAGACCTTGTCTTGCTCACGCCTCTCCTCAAGAGTGTTGGGATCATTAGTGTTTGGCCTTAGCATTTCCAATTCCGACCATAGCTGACTATACTTCCCAAGATGCTTGGTGAAGTCACTCTCCTCTTGCTGTAAATTATTGATGGCTCTTTTAACTTCAAAGATTCTGGTCAGATTTGAAGTATTGCCATACACCTTTTTCAAGGTATCCCACAACTGTTTTGGAGTTTCACATTGTGAGTAAGAGTCCATGATAGGACCATCAAGAGAGCTTTGCAAGATAGACAGCACCATGAGGTCTTCCTGATCCCATTTGCCTTCATCTACCACTANTTGCCATCTTCTCCTTGGGTGATTTGCCTTGGTGCAGAACTTGAAGTGATATGCTCCCAAAGACCTCTTCCTCCAAGGGCTGTTTTGGCCAATCTAGACCAAGTGATGTAGTTTTCTCCTCCCTTGAGAACAACAGGAATCTTGACTTGTATGAATTGATTCATCTTCAGAGACTATTACCCACTGGTTACACAAAGAACCCAAGGAAACAATCACTGAAATTTTGCAACTCAAGAACACAGATTTCTTATCCACAAAGATAATAGATCTGGAAAGAAAATAGGAGGAGAAGATTGATAAATCAAATAAAAGAGAGTATCAAAGTTAAATCGCGGAAGCAAAATAGGTATACAAGAGCTTAAGGCTCTGATACCATGAAAGAAAGTGAAGCTTTAAGATTGAAGAACAAGAGAGAGATGAGAGAAAAGAGTAAAGAAGGAGAAACTTTTCCCTTAGTTCTGAAAAATAACGTTACAATAAGTTATAAGGAGAGAGAACAATCTTATTCTAGTAACCAAACACACTTGGCTTACTAGAGAAGCTAGAATAACTAGTTTATTTATTTAATTAACTCAATACTTTTAACAAGCCAAATGTGTAGCGGAATTATTTTTCGAAATTTGAATAACATGATAATTTAATGAATATTGTAAAAATTGGCAAATCCATGTATTCAGAACATTCAAGCATGAAATTATTTATCCTGAAGCTCGTGACAGAAGAATATGCATACCTCGTGGTTTGGTTTGCATCGGCGTCTGATTATGTCCCATGGTTTACTGAGTTCTAAGTATGTTCGAAATCTTTTGATTCCGGACACAGACTTTTGTTTGTTGTGTCTCTGTGGTAATGATGAGTGCGATGTATTTATATATATGGAAATTTACAAAATGTGATTGGTGTGGAAGTGGACTTTGACGGCGTTAATTGTCTGAGTTGGTTTAGTTACACCTTTGCAAGCTAACATATACTGTATTTAATTACATATCATTCTTAATTAGATGGGACTTTTGTATTAAGGATGATTTTGACTCCGATATCTGATAAGTGAAGGAAGAAGAAACCGTGTCTCTTCGTCGTGCCAAAGAGTTTCTTGGTATCTTAATAACAATAATAGGTATATTTCATTTCTTTAATAGATTTAGATGAAATCATGGTCATTATTATTTGGTTAACAACTCAAGTCATCGTTGACCCGTGAAAAAGACTAACCTCAATTCGTTGACCTTAAATACTTCAACCTTTTCTATTATTGGGTGAAGAGTGCTCAAGGAGTACTCGTTTTTAAGGATCCGACATCATTTTCCTTCAGTTTTGATTTTATATATGAAAAGTTTTGAATTTCGTAGACTTTTGCTAGTTCCTGCGTCATCAAGCGATTAAGAAAACATTAATTAGACTCATTATACTTCGTACGTTTTAGATTAGAAGACAAAAAGGAGACGGCCTAACATCCATAAGATATTTTGTTTAGGGTAATTTATTATCTACAATTCTTCATTGCAAAGAGTTGGCAAATCTTCAGAGCAAATTAAAAAAAGAAGAAGCTAGATTCAACTTTACTCTGATACTTGCAAGAAAAGTCTATTCATCATGCGTTGATGTGGAAAGGGCCCATATAAGTTTATAAAGTATATGGGCTCCATGTAAAATGAGCCCATCCTAGATGGATATATAGGTTTTTCTAAACGGATAATCATAAACGCTCGATGTAGAATGGGCCGTAGAGGCAGCAACATGAATGTTTTAAGTGAAGTTCGTTTCACTAACAAAATGTTATGTCCAATTTACAATAAAAAAATTATATATAAGGATTTTTTTTACATAAATTAGAGTGACGTTGAAAAGAAAATAGGAACCTCTAAATCAATGGAAATTAGGAGACCAATAGAAAGTGTAGTAGAATAAAGACGAAGTACGAAGCACGTGGGCTTTGAAATCGTTTGTCTATGTTGCGAATAGGACTGGGCATTTTATCCGTTATATTTGATTCGATCCGTTATTCGTTTCGATTCGATCCGAAAATTTTGGATATCCGTAAACTTTCGAATCAAAGCAAATATTAAAATTCAATATCCGTTAAAATCGAAGCAAATCACAAATATTAAAATTTTGGAAAGCGGATATCCGATCCGATCCGTAAATATATAAATATATGTATATTTTGATTATATTTAAAATTTTAATTGTATAAAATTATATAATTATTATTTTAGCACATGATTTTGAACAATTCTATTCAAATTATTACTTATATAAAAGNAGCAAATCACAAATATTAAAATTTTGGAAAGCGGATATCCGATCCGATCCGTAAATATATAAATATATGTATATTTTGATTATATTTAAAATTTTAATTGTATAAAATTATATAATTATTATTTTAGCACATGATTTTGAACAATTCTATTCAAATTATTACTTATATAAAAGTATTACATAAAAAGAGATATAATATTTTTGACAATTATATTTTTTTCTTAAATTTTGTGTTATTATAATTGTAACTTAAACTTTAAAAAATTACAAAATCTATAAATTCACTAGTTCTTTTAAGTTTTATTTTATATATCATGCAAGAAATATTTTTGCAAAGCAAATTTGTATCAAAATCTTAAGATTATTTGTACTAATAAAAATGGATGAGATATCCGTAAATATTCGTAAATATCCGCAAATATCTATTTATTTTCCGGATATCCGTTTTTCCGGATATCCGTATTTTTTCGAAGCAGAGCAAATACCAAAATTAGATATCCGTAACATTCGAAGCAAATCACAAATACCTTAAAAACCCCGGATATCCGATCCGTGCCCACCCCTAGTTGCGACAAAACCATTCTTATGCAAATTCAAGCGATGTTAATGTACAGAAACAATACAAGCTACCCATCGCTTTCGTCGAAAAACGAATCACTGCTGCTTTCATCTCAAAGTATTGCCAATAATAAAGGAATCTTTATATATAGAGCTTTGGACAAAGCATATGCAATGTTGTTATATGTCGTACGATATATATTAATTAACTTGACGATTCGACTTTTGGTGTTTTGTGGTGATTATTATTTGGAACTATGAAATTCTCATATATATTTTGTGCTCTTGTAAATCTTACTGTAGTCTGAAAAATTGTCTCTGATTAATTTTTTGATCGATGGATATAACCAATTTAATTATAATAACTTTAAATATTTGTGATCTGATATTTTTGTTGCATTTATCATCTATTTATGTTTTATCTTTTTCCATCTTTTATAACAGTTTGTATATCCACTTGCTTGATGCTTCTAATAAATTAGTGATAAAACCTAAAATGGTAAACACTTCATACTTCATCTATGTGGTACCAGTTTTCTTCCGGAAATGTTTTTGTTAATCTCATCAAATTATATGTACTCCAGTACTTCCAGCACTTCCATTAAACTACAATAAGTTTTGACACACAAGATATACACACTCCACAAAACACCTAATATGCAAACAGATTTATATGTTGGGGGATCTAAAATATAAATATTTAGAGGACAGAAAAATGTGATGTGTATTCCAACTCAAGTTGTTCAAAAAAAAAGTATTCCAACTCAAAAGCATCATAAAAGTCCACATTATCACTCATTATTAATACATTACATTAAATATTCTTTTATAGACTTTCAAGATTTTAGGAGAATGATTGCCAAAGTGTGTTGTTGATGGAGGCTTTGGGTTTTAGCTTTTGTCCAAACCTTTAAATTTGAACAATTGGGTACATTCCGAAACCCTCAATTCATGTCGACTATGGAAAAGGAAAACCAAAAAGAACAAAACACTATATATACTCATTATTGATTGTCATACAAAAAAAGAAAGAAAAAGACCTATTTATAAAAAAAACAAAACACTGTTAATTTTTGACAAAGTAGAAAAAACACAAGAGGTCCCTCCTCCCTTTACGATGATTGATAATGAAGATCAAAACTTCACTGGAAGTTATATAGTTTTCCTTTCTTAAAAAAAAATAATTTTCACTTTCATATGTTATAATATACTATTGTTATCGTTTATTAAGGGGAAATGTTGGATCTATATTTTACCAACTTTAGGGGTTATTTTGGATAAATAATTTGGGATTTTTTTTTTCATGAAATTTATTGCATTTATAAAATTTATTTGAAACTCAAGATTATTAGATTCATCATATGCACAAAATAAAATTTTAAAATACCTTATTGGATATTAGGAATTTTTTCAATCAACTTTATGAAAGACCAGCTCGCCATATAATATTTGGAAAGTGGGATAAAATTTGCAAAACTATTATGACATTTGATCGTCTCTTCAACTATTTCAAAGGGTCGATGTTTGCCAAATTTGTGGGGAGTATCGTAAAACTCGGTGCTGCACACGGTAACCATTTTTAGGCAGACATAGTGAAGATTTCGAATCAAATCCCTTTGGCTCCGTATCTTCATGTCCCAATCAAATTTATTTCTTTCAGCATTCTTTTGAATTTACTAGTTTCACGTCCACCATTATATTATAGTTACGAAGTATAAGTTACGTACAGGTAATGTTTAACGTACAAATAGGAACGTTGATAATTTAGTCTTAAGTTTGATTTTTGAAATGTAAACTTGTTCTGTTTAATCAAAAGGAAAAATGATCATTCGTGGTATTTCAGTGTTCAATATTTCAAATAACTTGCTTCTAGATCTTTTTAATCCTTAAGTATGTGTCAGTGTTCAATAGTCAAATAACTTGTTTCTAAATCTTTTTAATTTATATGTTACTAACAATTAGGTCTACTTTTTTAAATAAAAATAGTGATCCACAATATGATTCAATCAATCGAATGGCCTAGTGACCTTAAATGTAACTTCATATCTTACTGATCTTTAAAAAAAATGAAACCTAGTCATCGTTAAACGAAATAATTTTGACCACAAAAGAATTTCTTATGAAAGACCTACATATATAAGAGGGTCTTGCCACCAAAAATCGTTTACTGATCGATGTTTAAGTATTTTTCATATTAAACAAATTCTTCATGTTTGTGTGTTATAATTCCGAGATTCGAACTTGATAGTTTTTACTGATTATGCATTTGTAGATATTGAACTTAGATAAGGGTCCGACCAATGTTACAGTACAGGCGTTAAGATATATGCAAGGTCGGTTCAAATACACATTCAGATGAAACATTCATTTTTGCCTTGAATTTTAAAAGTTATTATATATAAGTTGTACGTTCTTCAAATTTGTCAATTTCTTTATTAAAATGTTTAGGCTTCTTAAAATTTCAGATTTGTTTGCGGATAAGTGATATCGAAACGAATTAATTAATTGATTATTGTCATCTGAAATAAAAAATATTAAAAACAAGAAAAACAACAACAAAAGGAAGTTGAGCTGTAAATGAGCATGAAGGAAAGAAAAAAGTGTTCGGAACTCATCTCATTAATTTGCTCTGTCGCTCTCACTTTCCAAAAGTCTTAACGAATCTCTTTTACATACTTCTCAAGCATCTCCACTTCTCTCTTTCACGTGACACTAATTGTCCACCCAGTTATTACGTTCACAACTAAATACCTTTCTAAATTTTATTTTCTCTGCGTATCTTTTATGTATACGTATCTTTCCATGTCTTCATCTATATATAATATATAATGAAATATGGAATTAATATTCGATCTTGTGGGAGTGAAATGCTGAGTCTGATCATTACGTCGTAATAAGATGATAGATGACACTGGCTTCGTTAGTCGCTTCCACGGTGATTAAAAAGTATCATATATTTAGGAGACATCATACTTCACA